AGCAAGCCACTCCCACAAAGGAGGCCACACCCACAGAGTAGGTTCAAAAAAATTTTGAAACCCACCACTGTTTACAGCCCTCTCACCACCTCCTCGTGGTGCATCCTGGATAGTACAGTAGTGTGAACCAAACAACTGGCAACAACTGGCAACCAGACTACACAGAAGAATTGGCAGTTAACCACAGTTGGCAGTCAGGCATCTTTGTAGGATTCCTAGCTCTCTAAATAAATTGCAAACCCATCATGCTATGTCCCAATCCAGCCCACAACGCAGTCGGGTTTGACACCCCAAAGAGCTGTGGTGGCACAGTAGTTAGAATGCAGTATTGCAGGCTAACTGTGCCCGCTGACAAGAGTTCAATTCTGACTGGCTCAAGATTGACTCAGCTTTCCATTCTTCTGAGGTCAATAAAATGAGGAACCATTTTAGTTGGGAGGCAAGATGCTGACTCTGTAAACATGTTTACAGTAGTGGGTTGCAGGGGGTATGCCCCATACGGGCGTACTGGATCCTGCCTGGAGCACTGGGTACCATTCCAGTATGGTGCTCAGGAGGGCCCACCTGCCTGCCCGGGCTCCTTACCTGTGCTTTAAGCTTTTCGTGCTTCCGTGCATGCCCATGGAGCATACAGTGCCTTCGCGACACTCCGCCGAGGAGCTGGAGCATCGTGGAGGCTTGCGGAACCATCATTTGCCGCTGCAGCATGTGGGTGACTTCGGGGCTGTTCGGATTCCGTTCCGATTGGAACGGAATCCGGAACCCACCACTGGCTATATACCATATTTTTCGGACTCTAAGACGCACCGGTGTATAAGACGCACCAAGATTTCGGAGAGTAAGTAAGAAAAAAAAAAGGTTTTGCATTCCCTCAGCCCCCAGGAGCCCTCTGCAGGCTTCAGCAGGGCTGGGAGAGGGGGAAAATGTCCCTGTTTTTGTGAAAAATGGGTGGTTTTTCACAAAAACAGAGGCTTTTATTTTTGCCTTCCCTCAGCCCCCAAGAGCCCTCTGCAGGCTTCAGCAGGGCTGAGGGAAGGCAAAAAAGCCTCTGTTTTTTCAAAAAAACGCCCCCTTTTTTACCGTTTTTCACAAAAATGGGGATATTTTTGCCTTGCCTCAGCCCTGCTGAAGTCTGCAGAGTGCTTGTGGGGGCTGAGGCAAGGCAAAACAGCCTCAGTTTTTCCGCAAAAGGGAAATGCGGGGGGGCAGGGCTTTGGGAGGCCAAAAATGGCTGTACTCGGTGTATAAGACGCACCAACATTTCCACGCTCTTTTAGGGATGGGGGAAAGGTCAGTGACATGCGGTGAGGTTTATGGCTGGTGAGGCACTGATACAGTGGTGGGTTTCAAAATTTTTTAGACTTGTGGACTTCAACCCCCAGAATTCCACAGCCAGGCATGCTCAGTTTCAATTTAAAGCAACAGCATTTGTTTTTCTCCTTTGCAAAAAAGTTTCCTTCGTTCTATTTCTTCTCCCTCCCCCGCAGGAGACCGACGTGCCTCACCTACGTCAGGAATTTTTAGGCTTTTAACCCTTGCTTAACTCTGCTCAAGTGATCATAAAACGCCTAAAGTCGGACTAGATGAGGCACATTGTTCTCCGCCTCCTCCTGTAGAGGGCGCTTTTTTAGATGCTTTTTAAAAGGTGCATCTTATACTCCGAAAAATACGCTAAGTGCTATTGCTAAGTGAGACCTAGTCAAAAGGAGAGATCTTAAGGATATTCCTACCTGGCTCATTACCATAGGGCCCACCACATTGGTATTGTAGACCTCTAACATGTTTTCTGGTGTCTCGGATTCCAGACTGGATGGCTTTACTATTCCAGCATTGTTGAACAACAGATTCAACCCAGCTCCGTTTAGACATTTAGTAATTTTGGCTGCAGCAGCTTTGATGCTGGATGGATCAGAAGTGTCTAAAAGAGAAATGAGAAAAGTTTTTGTAAGAGGTGCAAATCCCTAGCCAAGAAGCAACACTGCTGTTTCCCAACTAGACACCTAACTGCCTTTTATACATTAGAGTTCTCTATATATTAGAAAAGTGTTTCTGCTAGACATCTGGAAAACCAGCCCTAGTCAACAGACGAGCCCCACCCATCACCCAGGCCGTTGCAACACAAAACAACAACGGACACACAGCCAGCACCAATCAGCACCAATGTACGAATCATGATACAG